TAAGATCCCCAGAACAAACAGTAGGGCTTTTCTTCTTGCTGATGTTCTCCCTCCAGAACTGATTCCTTTACCCCCTTCCCTCTGCTGTCTCCATCAAGTTTCATCTCCATGGGATACTTTTTGATCATTTCTTTCAAATTGTGAAATCTGACTGAGTTCTGCTTAATCCCACAGAGCTGCTACTGAAACAATCCATTACAGGTCTCTTGAAAATCTCCCACATTCAGGCCAGAGTCACAGAACTGCTCAGCTTCGTGCTGTCCTGTGCTTTATAAAAACATCTTGTTTTCAGTTGCTTGTAACTGTTTGGGATGATTTTTTTCAAGCCAAGCATCTGACCCAGGTTTAATTTTTGGCAGTTTCCAGCTAGACCACGGTGGCCATTTTCAAGGACAAGGTTAAAAATATTTTTGCCCTTGTTGAAGAATAGTAATAACAATAAAGCTTTGGTATAGCCCATTTCTTCAGAAAAGGAATCTGAAAGGCAACACCATCACTGCCCTAGCTCCATGCATGCACCTTCTGAGCAGCAACTTGAAATTTGGCAGCACAACCGCCGTGGTTTCACAGAAGTGCATCCAAATGTAACAAAGCTCTGAGGCTCTGTAAGAATCTCGGCTCGCACGTGATCGGTTACGAATTGTTGGCTTTAGGCAGCTATGTCCTCCAAAGGGCGGCCTGCGCCGAGGGAGCTTGCCCAGGTTCGGCTGCGGGGAGCGTGCAGCATGGCCTGTGGTGGAGAAAGGTCCTGGGCAAGTGGGGCAGCGTGGGCAGCAGGCGGGTGGGGAAGGAACTTAACGAGTCTTTGAGACTGGGAACAAAGTGAAGATGAAGATATGATGAGATTCCGCTGGGCAGGGTGGAAGGGATGCGGTCGATAGGTGAGGAGGTTAATAAGCACAATGGAGAGAGAGATGCCAGGGAAAATAATTACGAAACAGTAAGAGGGTGAGCCAAGGTGATGTACTGATGGAACTGAGAAAGCCAGGAGGTGAAAATAAAATGCAGAGTGCAAGAAGGCAGAAGCAAGGAATGGAGGTAGGGAAAACTGAGGTGTGGGAGAGCAAGAGCTGGTGATACCCTGAAAACTGCCAAGAGGGGAAAGGAAAAGGCAGGTGCCAGGCTGGAGGACATTAGCCAAGAGTACTGAGGGGGGAGGAGTGTGAGAGCAGCATGAACCCCAAGCATAGGCTGAGGTTTTGAGTTAGACAGCAATGCAAATTGTGATTTATCTTGAATGGTATAAGAATAGGAACTGGGTATGACTAACTCCTATTGCAACCCACTTTTTTTTTTTTCTTGTTAAAAAGCTTCTTTGTTGAATATTCCGGAGCTCTTGAGGCAGAGCACCAGATTTAAGGTGACTGAATGTTACTCTGTTTACTTTTCAGACTTCCTCTGCCTTTGTTAACAAACATTCGAATGGCTTAAGTGCAACAGGCTTCTTTCTTAATCACAGTAAAAATGATTTCTGTAAAATACGTTTGAAAATCCTTACAGTGCTCTTAGACCCATAGGTAGGGCTGCCAGCAACGCATTTCCCTGTGCTTGTTGACCACCTAAGAGCACTTGCACCATCACTGCAGTAATTCGGCAGGCTTCCTCACAGGGGGGCAGAGCTGCCTTTGCAAGGGTTTGTCCCTTGCAGCCAGGAGCAGCCAGGGCTGGGGACGGCAGCAGCAAGAGGGGCTGGCTGGGGGGGGACCATGCACAATCCCAGACCCCAGAACTGGAGGCCGCTGGGCCAGCAGGCAGGGGGGACCCGAGCGGGTGTGGAGTGCCCTGGTGCTGTCAGGACTGCAGAAACACAGTCAGCTGCACTCCTCTGTTGATAAAGCAGGGGGAAAGGGGTGGTATTTGGAAGAATTTAGTTCAGGGGTTGGGGTTTCTTTAGCAGAAACGGGCAGCCCTCTCCCCACAGCCGGCACGTTTGGGCTGCTCAGTGCCTTTCATCTGGAAGGCAAGCTGTGCAGAGCTCAGCTGCTTTCCTTTCCTTTCGAGAATGAAAGTAGCAGCCCAGTCAGAAGATGAAGTTGCTGGTGTGTATCAGGTGGTAGGAAAAATTACTCAGAAACAGCAAATGGTCTGACATGTATTTATTTTGATACAATCGGGAGTTGCTCGTGCTGATTTGCTGTGCGTTTATCTCTTTGTAATATTGATAACTTCAAAACACAGATGAACTGCTAATAAACCACTGCTAGTGGTGTGATTACTTGGTTCCTCCTAAAAATTCTTGTCTGGGGGGTTAATGAGAGCGAGGAGCTGACACATTGACCCATCGCTTCTTGAAGCAGATCTCTGTTCAAATTCTGACCTACGTCCCAGCTAAAAATGCATTCAATCTTTTCTTAATTTGTAATAGATACTTGTGTACATTACAAAACCATCTCGCAATTTGGCAAATTAAGTTGTCTGTGGTTAGCTCTGGAATTGCAGAGATATTGCAGTGCAGTGCAGCATTGCATAACAGGCTTTCACAGAATCTGCCCTACTCCAGCGAGTAACAGCAAACCTTATCTCTAATGAGCATCAGATTCATCCCATTTTTGGAAAAAAAAAAAAAAAAAAAGAATTAGTATCAAATATACGATGGGCATGTTATGCCTTGTGGCTGCAATGTTTTTTCAATTAACTTCTCTGAATATACCACAATGAAAAGTGTCAGCTTTTTGCCTCAGAGGCCTATAATTAGATTAAATGAATACAGTTAATTATCTACCACCTTCTTTACACAAAACAGTATGTTTCTATAAATTAAAGTGCTCGTACAGGAAGGAAATTGTTGTTCTCTTCAATACAAGCATACACTGCTGGACTGTGAACACTGTGACTACGTGGTGTAGCATAGCCTTTTGCCTATAGCTCTTATTTTACAGTAGCGAAAGCAAAATACATCTGAGAAATCCACAGACATCACACTACACACGTTGGTGCAAGGAGGTGGTATCAGTGTTCATCAAACAAACATACTTTCCTCTTTAACAGATGTTTTCTACAACGTTTCCTTAGGGAGGTTAAGTGCAGCTTTGCCTGTGCACCTCCAGCTGCACCCCAAGGGACCAGAGGATCCCCAGGCACGGAGCTGCTTTTTCCAGCAGAGCCCTGCTCCTTTCGGGAGGTTTAGGAAGCCTGCTCTGTAGGAAGGATCTGCAATTAACAGCCCACTTTGCAGGCCTGCTGCTGTTTTAGCCAGGGCAGGCTGAAACCTTCTCTGCCTGCTCTCCAGCATTTCTAAATATGAGCAAAAGCTCACAGCGTGCTAGCCTGCCTCCATCCCCACACGCCCCATGCAGCAGTGCAGGTGTTCGGGTGGTCCTGCAGCACCTCAGCGCCACGGCCCCTGGAGGAGAAAGCACCCTGCGGGGTCTGCCAGGGTGCATCCAAATCTCCCGATTTACATCAGAATGGATGTCAGTAACTTACGGCCTAAAAGGGATCCTCACTCCCAAAAAATTACACTTAGCCAGAGCAGGAGCCTGCCATATACTCTGCATATAAATGTGATGTGCACCAAGTTGTACTGCATTAGGGTCAGACTCTGAAAAGCTTCTGGATACTTCGTTTTCATACAGGATGTCGCTTTTTCTTGTGGCTTGTGCTGTGCGAGTGTATTTTCATTTAAGTGTTCATCATCTCTGTGCAGAACAGTGTCCATTAAAATACTGCTGTGTTGATAGGAACCTCAATATTGTGGGGTGAGCAGGGCTGCAGTGCCACGCAAGGGCTGCCCCTTTCCTGCTCTCAGGGTGCAGCAAGAGAGAAAAACCATCCTGAGAGGCACTGCCTGCTGAGGAAAGGCTTCCAGCAGGAGCTGGGAATCGACTTTAGCCTCTCAGTGGCTGCAGTGTGAAGCAAAATCTGTTTTCTCACACAGAATCAAGCATTTTTTATTTTTTGTTAAAAATGTTCCTAAATACTAGCGGCCCTCCTATTTACTGCTACAAATATCAGAAAGCAGTTACAGAGGAACAAAGAAACGCAACTGGAAGCATGGCTCAGTGGTCTTGCACTTCCCTGAGAAGCTGATTACACTTTTGGCTGATTCAGTCTCTTTCAGAGGGAATTTACCCTTTCTGCAGCCTGAGCTCAGCACTGCTGCTGGTGCTGAGTGAGTGAAGGTGGGGTCCTGCAGGCATTGGACTGAATTCTGCCAGCAAGCTCCAGGTTTTGTCCTCTGGCCCCTCTGTGTCCCCTGTTTTGTGCCCCTCTGAAGCCATTTTAACCCCACTCCAAGAGTAGATAGACCTCGCTTGGGCTTTGACAGGTGCCTGGCTGTTTCCCTGCTTTCCCTGTAGGATTAACCTCCTGGATGGTGCAAGGTCAAGGTTATCTGAAGTATCCACCGTACAAGAGGTCTGCTCCTGGTAGTTTCCTCGCTTTGCCCAAAATATCTGATAATGTGCTTAAAGGTGATGCAAACAGTGAAAAATCAGTATAAAAAGGCCAGCAGGACCGCTCAGCCCTGAGAAATGTCCCTGCTGATCTGCACTTGGTGCTTCTTCAGAAGGCAAGAAGCCATCTTACTGCTCCGTGCCATGGCAGAAGTTTTTTTTTTTTTCTTTCTCTCCTTTCCCCTGTAAAGGAGGGCTGCGGAGCCTTGGCACATCTGGCCATCAGCAGCATGCGGCGCAGCTCCCATCCGCAGGCAATTTCCTTGCCCCTGCGACCCAGAAACCGAGCAGCGGGGGTGCCCCCCCCCCCCCTTCCCCTTCCTTCTCCTGCCTATAATTTCAAAATGCAACAGGCGGCGAGAAAAAGCTCTCGCAGGGAGAGACACCTTGCTCCGGGGGTGTGCGGGGAGCCGAGGACGGGCAGCCCTGCAGCTCCTCTTCCAGCCCTGCTGCAGGGAGGCTGCGGGGGGAGATGCTGCTGCAGCCCCGGGGTGCCGGGGGGGGTCCGGCGGTGAGCAGGAGGCTGCAGCCAGCCCCCCCCTTCCTTCCCCCGGGCCGTGTCGCCGCTGTCCCCCCGGGCTGTGCGGGGCCCGGCGCTGTACTCACCGCGGCTCGGGGGCGGAGAGGCGTCGGGGCTGGTGCCGAGTCCTCGGGGAGAGGGAGGGAAAGGGGAAAAAGGAAAAAAAAAACGAGGGAAGGGGAAATAAAAAATAAGGGGGTAGAAAGAAGTGCGAAAGAGGGGAAAATAAAAAGAAAAAAACGGCCGGGGAGGAGCGGAGCGGCGGCGGGAAGGTGGCGGTGGCGGCGCCGGGCGCTGCGCTGCGGCCGCCCCAGGCCCCTGGCGGCGGGGGGGGGCCGGGGCGAAGCGGCGGCGGAGGAAACTAACTAAATAAAATCAGACTGTTATTTAAGGCGCGTAAATTTAAAAATATTTGGACAGGAAGAGAAAGGGGAAAGGAGCCGTAGAAGACAACCTAACGGTTTCGGAGCCGGGCGGGCCCCCCCCTTCCCTCCCCAGCCCGCCCCGGCGCGGCGCGGCCCCCGGGGCCGGCCCGAGCCGCCCCGCACCTCGGCGCCCGACCCCCGCCGCCCCGGGGAGCCCTGGGCCGACACCGACATTTTGAGAGCTTGTGCCCCGGGGCAGGCAGCGCCGGGACGGGCTGCGGCTCCTCGGGGACGGAGAGAGCCCTGCCCGGCTCAGCCCGCCCGCTCGCCTTCGTTTTCTGCCCGGCTTCCCCCCCCCTCTTCGCCCCGCCACGCAGCCCCCAGAAATACACGGGCAGTTTTCCCCTCTTGGGAAAAAAAAAAAAAGAAAAGCCCTTTGGCTTTTTTATTTTATAAATTATTATTCTTTTTTTTAATCCCCCGTGGCAATTTCACCGCGCTCAGCGGATCCTAACGTCTGCCTGCTCCCGGCTTGCCAGGTCCGTTCGGGGACAAGCCACCTTTCTGCCTCCCGAAAGCCCCCAAAAAGCGGCTTTTTTTTTTGCGGCCGCTTTAACCCTTTCCGCCCGGCAGCCACGCAGCGCCTCTTGCTACGGGGCTGGCTCCTCGCCGCGCCGCTCCCCCGCCGTGCCCGGGGCTGGCCGCGGAGCCGGGGACACCCCGGTGCCCCCGCACCTCGCCCGTCCCCGGGGACCGAGCGCTGCCTCCAGCATCCCCCGGGACCTGCCCAGCTCGGCGGGACCGCGCCGTCCCCCCCGGGATCCCCGGGAAGCGAAGGCCAAGTGCTCGTCCCGGCAGCCCCGAGCAGGGCACGGGGCTCCGTGCCCACGTTTGTGCCCAGCTCAGCTCGGATCCGGGCCGGTGCCCGGCGGTGCCCCCCCGCCGCCCGCCCGCTGGGTGCCCGCTGGGGTTTTGGCTGCTCGGGCACCCCGGCTGGGTGCTGCGCTGGGTGCTCCCCGTTCCTGGGCTCTGCTCCTGCCCGGGAAAGTCGCCTCTCTGTTGTTTTCCGCCCCGAGCGAAGCTCTCGGTAACATTTCGTTCTGTCTCCCACGCTGCCTTTTCGCATCTCCCGGTAACTCGGCGCCGGCGTTCCCGCAGCCCCCGCCGCTTTGCAGAGCCCGGCTCTTTGGGGACGGCCCCGGGGGGGTCCTGGGGCAGACCCCGGGCCCTCCTGCAGGGTGCTGCTGCCCACGAACAGAGCCGCTCACAGGCAGCAGGCAGCTGGAAAGCGCTGGCTGCTTACCTTTAAACCGGCCGTAGCATGGCCGTGACTCACCCGCCGGAGCTATAGGCTTGCCCGGGATGTAAAGCAGCCCTGCTTCAAACGGGACCTTCTGGCACGCAATAAAAGCCGCTACTTCTGCCTAGGCGGGGCGGGTTTTTTTCTCGGGAAACCAGTTGTTTCCTCCAGCCACCGGTAAAACTTGGGCACGGCGTAAGTGGGAGGCTGGCGGAGCTCGGGACAGGTCTTGGATGGACTTCTTCCATGGCAGAGGTGAAGGAGAAGCCGGGCGGGGGCCCCTCGCCGCCCGGTGCTGGCCTCCGGCTGCGGGGGGCTGCGGGGGGCTGCGGGGCCCGGGAGCGATGCGGGGCACGGCCCTGCCCGCACGGCCCTGGCCGGCAGAGGTAAGAAGGGACGCGCGCAGAGCTTTACGTTTCGCAGAGGTTTTTAATCAGAAAACACAGCAGCGTGACACAGAGTACGGTAACGGCGCGGACACTTGCAGGAAATTATTAATTTTTTTACTTAAAAACAACAGTGACTGATTCCGTGGGGCTAAAATATTTTTTTTTAAGAGAGAAAACGCAAACTAATATACGCTCTCTCCTCTTTTAAGTGCTGTTTTGTAGCTATCTACTCATTTTACGTTGATGTAAAAACTATTTTGTGCCATTAAAAATTAGATTATCCAAAATTATCCACTTTCAACTGCCCATCTGTCGAGCACCTCTGTACCAACGTTGTTTCCTGCTACACTCCCCCGACAAGGCGCTGAGCATCCTCAGCTCCCCTTGCAGCCGGAGAGGGAAATGAGGTTTGGTCTTGTGAATACACTCAACTACATTGCAAGGGAACATTTTCAAGGGTTAAATTGGTTTTTAGGTACAAGGAATAATAGAACTCTACAAAGACCAAACGTGTTGCTTCCTCAGTTTCACCATATTCAAATATTCATGTTTTGTGAGAGGCATCTACCATTGTTATTTTATTTTTTTTCCCAGACAAAACAGAGTAGCTGGTGGAAAGCAATCGTTTCTTAAGAGCATCTAGACTGCGCTCAGCTTATTAAGTGACCAGAAATCTTGTCGCGTTACAGCCTGCTGACATTCTTTGCTCTGACAATGGTTATCTGCTGGTTTGAAGCTAGAAAAACTGTATTCTCCAGTGCACAGTGAACACGAAGCGCTAAGCTGAACTCTTTGAAACCTCTGGCAATGAAAAACGCCGCTCAGGTTGTTCCTGGTAACTAAACTGAAAAGCAGCTCGGTGCGAGTTTAAATACACAGAGGGGAGAAGTGGCATCTAGCTGGAGAGGTAAGCGCCCTACGTCTACAAGCTCCTGGTAAGGGCGAGCTGCAGGCAGCCCCCCCAGCTGCCAAGCGACACCCCTGGCCCGCTGCGGGGCCCCGCGGGGCCCCAAATCTCGGCTCCCCGCTCCCCCCGGGGCTGCGGAGCCCGGAGGGGTGCAGGAGGGCCCTTAGCACGCCGAGAAGCAGGTGACTAGGTGGCTTTTGGATTAATAATGAGCTAAGGTAAATTGGGAGAAGCCGCTAGTGGGAAGCTACATAGGAGTGACCAACATATACATGGGGAGGGAAGGGGAGGCAGAAATTGCCGGCGGGGCGGATTTCGACCATTTGCATCCTTTAAAAAAAAAAAAAAAAAAAAGAAAAAGAAAAAAAAAAAGGGGAAAGAAAATAAAGGAAAAAAAAAAAAAAGAAAAAAAAGAAAAACCCACCTCGGCAATTTCTCCGACTTTGCGCTATCCAAAAAAAAAAAAAAAAAAAAAAGCCAAACTAGGAGGAAGGTGGGTCCCGACGTTATTAAAAGGCTGGGGGTGGGTTGGGGGGGAGAAGGAGGCAGGAGGCCGGCGGGCTCAGCGTCCGGGCGGGCCCCCCTCAGTCGGTGGCGGCGGGGGGGCGGCCGCCCTCCAGAAGCCGGAGCACGGCGCTGCGCTTGTAGAGCTTGGCCACGTCGTAGGCGGTGTCGCCCCGCTTGTTCTGGTGGCCCACCTTGCTGGCCGTGCTCTTCAGCAGGAACTCCACCACCGGCACGTGGCCCTCCTGCGCGGCCAGGTGCAGGGGCAGGTTGCCCTCGGCATCCTCGATGTTAACGTCGGCTTTAAACTCCAGCAGAGTCTGCAAAGTGTCCAGAAAACCCGCTCTGGCTACGTCGTGAATCACGGCGAAGCCGGTACTGTCTTTCAGGTCGGGGTTCGCACCGCTCATGAGCAACCGCCGGGCAATTTCGGGATTGCCGAGTTTCATTACCTGGGGGAGAAAAAGGAGAGGTGAACACCTCGGGGAGCTGCCCCCCTCGCTGCAGCCTGCCCCAGCCCCCCAGCCCTCACCTCCCCCTGTGTCAGTCCTGAAATCAGCCCTGCTACACAACTAACGACACGCCACAACATCTATTTTTAATTTTTTCCCCACCCTGACCTCAGTAATATTACGAAAGATGTTATCATCCGGGTGGCAATAGCTTTCTGGCTCACAGAGATTAATGCCCGAAGCAGGCAGAGGGGAAGGGGGCTGCAGAGACTTCTTTTCCAGCAAGTTATCTCGTTTTTTTAGCATGCCAAAATTAAGTATGGCTCGCTTTTATTTGCACGAGCACTGAGACACCGTTGCCTTATTGTCTGATGCTGTTAAATATCACATGCAGGGTCTCCGAGGAACAGATATTTTACCTCGGCGATAGAAAATGTAGAATGTGTTTTTATAAGCTCTCAGGTGTTTACATTGTCTGTGTATTATCATAAAGCAAATATTTGTCCTGTGCCATAGTTCTGTCTGCTAAGAAAAATAAATGCTTAAAGAATTTTTTCTCCCCAATATTTGACTCTCATAATGTCACCCAAAAAGGGGAAGTTAAAAGGAATGTTTCAAAGTTCCATCATTTTTCTCCTAAAACCACTGTATTATATTATGGTTCCATAATTTTATTATCAGTAAACCATGGCTATATTATGTTGTTAAAAAAATCCTATTTAAAAAAACAATTATTGTTTTTTTTGACTGTTCCTCTCAAGAAAAAAAAATGTCTCTTTAAAATTTCCTGATTGCATCATAAAACTATTATAATTAGCAAGCAAATTTCTCTTATTTAGGGCTTAACAGCTTGCACCGATTTCCCCCAAATTCCTAATTTTTTGTTTTCTCAAAGGCTCTAAGAAATTAACATGGTAATGTATATTCTCCAACCTATAGGCAGTATTTTCCTGTTCTTGTAATTGGTCTTACTGCAAGTGGCAAATTCGAAAAAAAATAATCATTTTTTTTCTTTAGAAATTATTTGAAAATCTTGCAAAAAAAATAATATATCAGCACAAATTAATATTAGAGTGCATTAGATTTAGCATAATGTACAATTTCTACAAGGCATTTGCTAAAAACCTCTCCTTGTGAAAAAATATGCATTAGGCTTTTTAAGAAAAAAAAAATAACACTATAATCAATATAATTTGTGCAGCTTTTGGAGTGTAAAATAACCCGGTATATTTATTTTATCTCCAGAGAAGAGCAGAGCAGCAGATAAGGCAGAAAGGGATTCAGGGGAGGACATTTATCTGTGCCACAATGCTCCGTGCACTTCTTGTGCCACTTCTTTCACTTCTGAACAGAGATGGAAAAGATGCAAAAGAAAACAAGAGCATTGTGATCCCTCTTTCTCTGCTAAAATCGGGACATTTTAGTCCCTTTTCGAGGGCCCAGGCTGTGTTATTTGTGGATTCAAAACATGTATTTGGTTCAAGTGGGAGTTTTGTATGTTCGAGGAAGGCAGGCTAGGGGACTGGAGGCTTCGTTTAGAGATGCGGGGGGGAGAAAACCATAAAAAAGGTGATGCCGTTTGGGCGAGGGCTACAGCTGCACTGCAAATGCCCCCGATTTTGTAAAGTTTCGCTTCTGGGGAGAGAGGCAGAGAAGGAGAGAGCAGCAATTGAATAATTCTGCGGAGACCATAAGGGCAGGACATGTATTTGAGGCCTGCATAGGTACACTTCATCAGAAATAAAAAGTACAGGGGAAGACAGGCTGGGTTTTATGTTTAATTAAACATAA